CCTGCAAGTGTGTATGTGTGTGTGTGTGTGTGTGTGTGTGTGTGTGTGTGTGTGTGTGTGTGTGAACGCTATATAGATGAGGAGAGGCTCTCATGCGGAACACGCTATAACCCGTGTCAGTATTAGAGCTGCAGGCGGGACGGCCCGTACATAATGACATGCCACTCCGAGTGACACGCGGCTGCTGTCTGTGCCGATCAGGCGCCTCACAAAATGGCAAAAATATCAAACATGTTAAAAGCTTCAAACAGTTTTATGTGCTTTGATTTTATATGGCAGCTTTCCCATTTCAGCTGGAACTGCTTTTCTGCTGGGAGTGTTTAGGCATTATTCATGGAACAAACGTGTGTTTGTTACCTGAGTGCACGAGTATAGTTTGTGTGTTTTTATTTAATGCTTTGACTTGCTTGTGTTTGACTTTAGTCATGTGCGGTTTGATAATTTTGAATGCTCAACATGGTTCCAACAACTTGGATCTAATGAATTTACATAATATTTCCATGACTTTTACAGTCGTTTGTGATGACTGAATAAGGAATTTTGAAAAGCATTTTACATCACACTCAAATTGCAGGATCATAAAATGAAAGATAGAGACAAAACATACATAGACCTTGGGGAAAGAGAACAATAAATAGAAAAAACAGATATATTTGACTGAGGGAAAATATTTAGGCCCAATTATAACCGGTTTTATTTATTTTTCATTATTTTCTTAATATCTTTTTGAAATTATTTTTATGGAAAAATTACAGTGGCCAAGAAAGTTTAATGTGCTGCAATTTAAAAAAACACAAGCAATTACAAAAATGGCAGCAAATTAGGTACGGTTTTTCGCAACATATTGTTTTCCATCCTATTTGCACGCATTATGGGAAAATGCAGGCATTTTGATAATTTGTATGTTTTGAAGTACATTGTTATTTGTTTGCATTGAGAGAAAACGTCGTAAGGATTTGCAACTCGTAAGCTGTCAAATCAATTAGGATTTTTTCTAATAATGCTGCCATTTTTTGTAATTGCACTTTTTCTTAAATTGCAGCATGTTAAGCTCTCTCAGTCACCGTAAAAAAATATTTTAGTTAGATTTTTTCCCTGGAATTGCGTTGTTAACAATTTTAGCTATTCTGAGCTTTTTACATTGCTTCAATAAAATTACATGAGCTTGTTCAATTAAAACCATGAAACAATTTAACATTTTTTTAGTTCGTTCATTCAGTTTATTTTACCAAACTCTGTTACCATTATAGCATATATAAAAAAATGTATATATATATATATATATATATATATATATATAAATATATAAATATATATATATATATATATATATATATATATATATATATATATATATATATATATATATATATATATATATATATATATATATATGTCATGAAGACGCTACAAAAAATTCTGTATGCACATGATTTGTAGGAGACCATATCAAATAAAATGTTAGGGCGTACTCACTGCACAGCAGAGATTGCTTTAGTTATATCGTTTTGTATTATTTTTAGTCGTTTGGGATGCAGTGACATGTCGTCAAATATTTCGTCAAATAGATCCACAACTTTTGACACTCATAAATTATCATAAAAGTCATTGTGCTGCATGTATTAGGAGGTTTGGTGAAGGTGCAGCAAGTGGTTTGCATCTTTAATAAACTACAACAGTTAGTGTTCATTGAAAAGTAAGAATGATTAATGAACCCATATGAAACAGTTCCATAATAGTAACATCAAGTCTTCAGTTTTAGGCTCGGGTGCACTTTGCACTCACACTACAAGTATACCATGCCAAAGCCCAATCAAACCACGCTCTGACATACCTCTGCAGAACAGGCCACGGCTGGCACTTACACATGTCAAACAAACCAGGAAAGGCGACTGGGCACGGTTCGGATAGTATAGTGTGAGCGCAACCTTAAATGGTTGCGTATTTACAGACACTGGTCACTATCCTGAGTCCAACACCATAAAGCTACTTTAATTCATTTATTCATTTTCTTTTCGGCTTAGTCCCTTTATTGATCTAGGGTCGCCACAGCGGAATGAACTGCCAACTTATCCAGCATATGTTTTACGCAGAGCCTTCCAGCTGCAACCCATCTCTGGGAAACATCCATACACACTTATTCACACACATACACTATGGACAATTTAGCTTACCCAATTCACCTGTACCGCATGTCTTTGGTCTTTGGGGGAAACCATAGCACCCAGAGAAAACCAATGCAAATGCGGGGGAGAACATGCAAACTCCACAGAAATGCCAACTGACTTAGCCGAGGCTTGAACCAGCAACTTTCTTGCTGTGAGGCAACACCACTACCTACTGCGCCACCGAGTTGCCCACTTTAATTTATTTATTTATAATTTGCAAAATTCTGTGAAAATTCATTTAAATCTATTTAAAATCTGCCATTTCCATCCACGTTCACCACATAGGCATATGAAGTTTACTGCATCACAGGGCATAAATGTGCAAGTGTGTGTGCGTTGACCTTTACCTGTGTGCGTTTAGCTGGTATGTGTGTGTGGTTGGTCTGAGAGCTGCTGTCTGAGGTGCTGTCGGATTCAGAGTGGCGCAAACTGGCTCTCTTCTTCTTGATCAGATCAGAGTCTCTGTTATACGTGAAGCCCAGTTTGTGTGTGTTAGTTAGTGAAGACCCAGTTTGCCACATGGGCGACCTATCAGCAGGCCGCGGGGTCTCGTGTTGCTCCGGGGAGTCATTGACCTCAAATTTCTCCTTTTCTCTCTCTAGCCTATGAGGCAGGTCACCCATGTCCAGTGTATCAGCCTTGAGGAGCTTCTTCTGTTCTACAGTAGGAGGTCGGCTGCTCTCCAGGCTGGTTCTTGTGGTCTGGGTGGGTCGCAGGTGAAGCTCTGTGACAGATGGAGCTGCTGGCGAGTCTGCCTTGGATGACCGTAAAGATGGAGCTACTTCTTTTAAAAGTTCCCCTGGGGAGGCGGATAGAGAACCAGATCCTCCAGCTGTCGCGACTGACTTGACTTCCTGTTTTTCATTTCCATCAGAGCCACCGTTGGTTGCGGCAGCATCTTGATTGGTGGGCTCGCGGTGGATATCATTGAGTTCGGCATAGAACTTGTCTTGGTCGATGGAACTGTTTGTGTCTGTTTCGAAGTCTCCAACTTTGTATGTGCTGCGACTGCTGTTAGCCTCGATCTGCACCACGTTGAGCTCCTCGCCACTGAAATGAGCCCTGATCTGATACAGGTAAGTCATCACTGTCAGCTTATCCGGGATCGCCAGTAGAACCATGTCTGAAGGCTCGAGAAGCCGAGAGATGCCCAGGTTGGCAAAACCATCATAGGCCTGTAGACAGAAGAATATAATGAAGACGTTTAAAACAATTTAAACACAGAAAAATTATGGTACTGATGGACCAAAAACATAGAAAAAAGGTAATTATTTAGATCAGTAAGACACCAGAAGACAATGTGGTATGGTAAACTGCTGGATGTAGGGTCCAAAATTCACTGTGTGTTGCTAGTGGGTGAAAAATAAAATATAATAAATTAAAGCAAAATAAAATAAAACAAACAAACTTTAAAAAAACAGCAATAATTAAATAAATACGTTCACTCACCGGCCACTTTATTAGGTACACCTGTCCAACTGCTTGTTAACGAAAATTTCTAATCAGCCAATCACATGGCAGCAACTCAATGCATTTTGGCATGTAGACATGGTCAAGACAATCTGCTGCAGTTCAAACTGAGCATCAAAATGGAAAGGAAAGTTGATTTAATTGACTGGGCACGGTTGTTGGTGCCAGACGGGCTGGTTTGAGTATTTCAGAAATTGCTGATCTACTGGGATTTTCAAGTAGAACCATATCTACGGTTTACAGAGAATGGTCTGAAAAAGAGAGAATATCCAGTGAGCGGCAGTTCTGTGGGTGCAAATGGCTTGTTGAAGACAGAGGTCAGAGGAGAATGGCCAGACTGGTTCTAGCTGATAGAAAGACAACAGTAACTCAATAACCACTTGTTACAACCGAGGTATGCAGTAGAGCATCTCTGAACGCACAACATGTCCAACCTTGAGGCGAATGGGCTACAGCAACAGAAGACTGTGCCTACTGTGCCTACACTTCGCACAGGCTCACCAAAATTGGACAATAGAAGATTGTAAAAATGTTGCCTGGTCTGATGAGTCTCGATTTCTGCAGCAACATGATTGTAGAATGGTAGGGTCAGAATTTGGCATCAACAACATAAAAACATGGATCAATCCTGTCTTGTATCAACAGTTCAGGTTAGTGGTGGTGGTAGTTTAATGGTGTGGGGGATATTTTCTTGGCACACTTTGGGCCCATTTATACAAATTGAGCATCTTCTCATCGTTACAGCCTACCTGAGTATTGTTGCTGACCATGTCCATGCCTTTATAACCACAGTATACCCATCTTTTAATGGTTATTTACAGCAGGATAACGCGACATCACCATAAAGCATCGTCATCGTCATAAAGCACAAATCATCTCAGATTGTTTTCACTGAACTAAATTGGCCTCCACAGTCATCAGAGCTCAATCCAATAGAGCACCTTTGGGTTGTAGTGCAATGAGAGATTAGCATAATGGATGTGCAGCCGAAAAATCTGCAGCAACTACATGATACTCCCATATTAGTATGGACCAAAATCTCTGAGGAATATTTCCAGTTCCTCGTTGTATCTATGCCACGAAGGATTAAGGCAAAAGAGGATCCAACCTGGTACAAGTAAGTTGTACCTAATAAAGTGGCCATTGAATTTATATACTACATTTCAAAATAATAATAAAATAATAATAAAAATTATTAAATAATAAAATAAAATAATAAAAATACACATACTTACAAACATACAGTTGAAAGCAAAATTTTTTTTGTTTATATTTTTCAAGTGCTATTTAACAAAGATTTATTTTAAAACAAAACAATAAACAATAGTTTTAATAATGAATTTCTAATAATCTTCACATTAAAAAGATGTTTACATATGTTTTTACTGGTTATTTTGCAAGATGCTACTATTCACCCTAAAGTGCAAATTAAAGGCTTGATAAGGTCAGTAAGGTAAACTAGGCAGGGTAGGTTAATCAGCCAAGTCATTGGATAACAGGTTTGTTCTGTAGCCAACCTTAAGGGGCTAATAATACAAAAAAAAAGTTAAAAATGCTATTATTTTAGCTAAAGAAATAAGAGTTTCTTAAGAATAAAAACAGCAATGTTTGACACAGCACAACAAAATAATTACTATCTCATATAATTATTTTGCCTTCAACTCCATGCTAACTTTACTTGGCGCATGTTGAAACTTAACTACTACACTAAAGAAAATTGGACAAAAAAAGCAAAGAGGGTGGAGGGAGATAATGAATGGTAGGGTGAAGGAGAACCGAGGTTACCCACAACAGGACACAAAGCAGGACTGAAGAACAAGAAGAAAAAGGTAAAGATGGGGTATAGGGTGAAAGGGAAGTAGCGGGTTTGCTGGGTAATGGGAAGAAGAAGCAGTTAGGGTGTAGGGTGCATGCCGGAATTAGATTTGGGATAAGACAAGCTGGGATCAGTAGGATGCGGCAGGCGGTGACAGCTAATGTCAAGGATGGTTCTCCATGATAAGAGAGCACGATACCAAGAAACACTAAACTAATCCTGCCTCAGTCTTATCGCATACATCTCCCTCTCGCCCTCCTTCCATCTCTCTCTCTCTCTCTCTCTCTCTCTCTCTCTCTGCAGTGAGTATAATTGCACTGATTTGTCCGGTTGAGGAGAACAGGCAGATAATCAAACAGCCAAACTCAATCCCTGATCGAAAGATAGAGTGAGAGAGAGAGAGAGAAAAACGAAAGGAAGAAGCGAAAGTAAACTGACTGACATTATCGTGATAATCCACCGAACGAATGAAAGAAAAGTTGCTTTCTCTTTCTCTGGAGAATTTGAGAACACAACAGTAGAAAGAAAAGCCTACAAATTAGCCTTGTGTCTCGCCCTCCCCTGATTCACTTTATCAGAGCTGCTATCAGAGCCCAGCTGATGGCCGACAGAATTTCAGCCTGTTGACTATTGTCTCAAGCTCAGCCGCTTACCATCTAGCGACTTTATCAGGTTTGTCCCCTTTATTGGCCTGAGTGAGAGAGAGAGAAGGCAAGAGAAAGGGAGGGGAGGTATAATCAAAGGTAAGCCGATTCTCAATTTACAATTAATCACATCTTTCTTTCTTTCTTTCTCTCGTGCCTTCTCTTTTTCCTGTTTGCTAGAGGCTAACAATAGTGATGGAGACGCAGAGCTTTGCAGAGCGGGCAAAATGTAAGGTACAGACAGGTGAATAAGAAAAAAGGGAGAATGAAGAAGGGTGGGAAAACAAAATGAGTCTGAAGGTATGTGTTGTTTGGGTTTCAACTCTAAAGAATGAGTGAATAATTGGTGGAACGAATGAAACTGAACTGCCTGACTGGGACTTTTAAACTTAAGCTATATTCACACTTGAGCAGAATAGGACCCAAAGCTCATTTAGTCCTTCACATGTGTGAGAGAGTATTTTTTATCTGGACAGTACAATGCACCTTTGGTGTCTAAGATTTAATTTTTTTGCGTTTCGGAAAGAAATCTCTTATGCAAACAAAGGCAGCATTTCTTTGTATTACATAATATTAATTTAAAATGTTCTGTATGTAAACGCATTTAAAAACAAATAATACTCCAATGTCACTGGATCCTTCAGAACATATTCAAATATGGGTGCTCCAGACAGCAAATAAATGGTTGCAATTTGCAACCGGTTTCCAGTCAGTGAAACTGGTTTTTATTAGAGGTTGCACTGACAACTCTTCCAATTTGCCTGATCAGAGTATACTGTATACTACAGGAATCAGAGAGTGAATTTCAAAACCTTTTAAGACCTTTTTTAAGACTCTTTCCATACATTTTAAGACCTTAAAACCCCCTTAGGTTTCAACCGAAAACATTGGCGAGATTTTAACTCACAGTATATTTACTAAATATTAATGTAGGAAAATAACTTTTAACTAAAACATCATTCATACTGTATATGATATAGAAATCTATTAAATTTAGCTAATTCAGCAGGTTGGCGCCTATAGAACTGTAGAAATAAAGGTGTTGCCTTTGTTGCGGCAGTAAACAAAGCAGCTTGATATCTAATAGCCTTTCATTGATTACATAAACTACACAGCACCCTGATATTCGCAGATTTAATTCAGGCAAACTTTAGCATACAAGCATACATTGCATAATCAAAAATTACATAAAATTGAATACCTATATATATATATATATATATATATATATATATATATATATATATATATATATATATATATGTGTGTGTAAATTATAATTTATGCAAGAATATAAATGTAATCTCAGTCAACATGGCCAAAATATGGCAGACCAGGCATTCTCTTCATTGGAACTCTTTATCCTCTGATATTTGCAATGCAAAATCCCTGAGTATTTTTAAATCATCTCCTAAAACAGTTGATTTTTAGATCTATTACTATTATTGTTATTTTTTTTTTATTAAAACTTCTTTTGTATTCATCTTTGTATTTATCTTTTACTGCTGTACAATTTATGTCTGTAAATTGCCTTGAGATGCTAGTTTTAAGCCGCTATAAAACTAAAGTTTAAATTATTATCAAAGTTTAAAATTAAATTAAGTTTAAAATAAATTATAAAATATTTTATATTAATATATAATACTAATACTTCTTTCTTTTTATTGAACATTTTATATATGAACCTTTTAGATTTGAACTTTAAAACAAAGAGATCCACCCAACAGAAAAGTAAATATTAATACTTTTCATAATGACTAAATTAAATAGATTATAACAGATTTTGTATTTGCAAAACTGTCTGTTTACAGGGACGATTCGAGCACCCAAGAAAAGGCAGAACAAAAAGGTGTCTCTCAGTCTCAAAACAACAAATCCAGCTTGATTAAAATAAACAAAGCCTGTAAACAGCAGTTTGAGTTTGTGTGAGCAAGCACATCCGGATCATTTAATCCCAAAAATCATGCTTCTAATGTACTACCAAACCCACAGAAACAAGCTGTTTGCTCTCGATCTGTGTATAAATAAGACTGCAGCACTAATAACCCTTGTGAACTGTGTGATTATTGTGTGTTTAAGACTTTCTCTTCCTGCTCCAATCATGCGCCCCTCCCCCACGCTAAACACACAATGAAAGCGTTTTGTTTTGTGAATGACATCGCTGAATGATTGACAGGTATCCATCGCTGTCAGTCACACACATATACACGCACACAGAGCCAGAGGGGCACATTTATCACGGCACACATGCACACGTGTGCGCGCAGATCAGATATCATGGGAAATTACTGCTCGTCTCTTTCTCTCCCAACGCACACACAGAAAAATAATTCTTTTCACTGCCTGTACGGGCAACCAGTCCTCTCCTCTCCCCTCTGCTATTGATTGCTCTTATCTGTCATATTTCAATGGAGATTATTGCAATCACGGTTGGGCCAGAGAGGGTCGTGCTGATTCTATCACATGGAAATGAATGCAGTATATATATATATAAATGCGTGTGTTTGGGGTTTGTATAGAGTGCTCTTAACCTCCTCAGCTCGCGAGAGTCATTTATTGTTGAAAGAGAGCGAAAGCATGCACTTTTTGCTGTGTCGGAGAGAGAAAAACGGCGTATATGATAGTCCCAGAATGAGAGGGCAGGAAATGAACTCAGGAAGTGACTGCAGGTATTGAGTGCAGGGATAAAGTGATGACAGATGAAAGGAACGGAGGGAAAGGAGAGCACGTTAAATACACCTAATAAAGTCTAAATGGAGCTAATCTGAGGGCTGAAATAAGAGTTAATCTATGGTGCTCCAGAATACAGTGATCGTTCAGTGGAGCGGAGTTACAGAGGAATTACGTTTTATACATCCACAAATCCAAACAGATTCCAAACTAATCCAGGAAGCAACTCTTCGGTAAATGTACATTTGTTTGGTGTGGTGCGCTGCTGTGCATTGTGTGTGTGTTTTCAGAGAGAGAGAAAGAGAGAGATGCTTGGAGTAATCCTTGTTGGCACAGCCACCAGGCGGTTTATTTAAACAGACATTTGAGAGATGACAGTAATTTCCACACCTTCTTCGCTCTCTCTCAAAGCACATCTCACTGGAAACAGCTGAATGGATGAAATAAGGTATAATGTGAAATAATGAGACTAAAAGTGAAGAAAAAAGAAGGTATGCGCAGCAGGTTCAGCAATTGCCCATTCAATTTTCAAAATATGCCCTCTGTATTCATTTCCAGGGACATTTTTAGATCTTCTTAAACAAAGTTTTTATATTTGGCTTATTAAATGTAAGTGTGTTTGTCTTATATTTGGGGTAGTTTGATGACAAGAACTTTAGCTCATTATTATTATTATAAGCAATAAATGAATAAATGGTTAGCTTCGGTCGAGTGGATAAGTCTCTTAAAGCAGCATGTGACATTATTAAAACTGTAATATTATGACAAATGTATTTTATCATTATTGTTTTCTGCTGCTTTTGATATTATCTTAAGTATTTCCTTGACTTTAGTCTTGTATTTTGCACTTTTATTGCATTTTTCTTAAATAAATTTTTCATTATAATTGTGTATGTATATATGTGTGTGTGTATATATATATATATATATATATATATATATATATATATATATATAATTTATTTTTGTCATATAATTTTTTCTTTTAATTTCTATTGTTAGAACTGTATATATCAAGCTAAATTTTAAAACACTTAATTTGTAAGTAAAATTATTTCCTAAATGTCTAAAAGAAACTAGAAGTTAATTTGAGAAATCTATAAAGGATTAGGTCAGGTGTACCAATTATCCTTCGCTTAATTTAACACGAGATACCGGGAGTTCTTCACAAGTATGTGTACACATTTATACAGCAAGTGAGTTTGCCTTCTATTTAGACTCCTTTGTCTTGAAAGTTCGTCCAAGTGTGTGATTAACATCCCTTTATTTCTCTTCCCTCCCTCTCTTTTCTCCGCACTCCACGGAGAAGCCTGTAAAGTTTATTTATAGCATGTTTATGAATTATGATGCTATCTTACGACTCCTAGGTGACTTGCTCCATCCACACAAACAGGAGCAAATGCACACAAACACACACACGCTTTTTCCATCAGTGTCGGCAGGGGAGCCGCATTCTGAAAGTGGCAATTAGAGAACGCTGGGTGGGAGTGAATCAGAGTTATAACAAAATAAATCACCTATGAGGAGGATTACTGATGCACAAACAAACGGAAAGGGAGAAAGAGAGTGTGTAGCATTTACCTTTTTGTTGTTTTCTTTAATATCTTGAGGATTGAGAGCCTTGTAGTCACTAGGAGGGAGTAAAGAACAGTGAGAGAGAGAGAGAGAGAGAGAGAGAGAGAGAGAGAGTTAGCTTTAAATATGCATCTCATGTAATGGCTGTAGAACTGTAACATGCAATTTCACAGCTCTGCAATCAACACAACTATTAGCGTGTGTGAGTGCAAGCAAAATTAGACACACACACACACACACACACACACACACACACACACACACACACACACACACACACACACACACACACACACACACACACACACACACACTTTATTCAACATATTAAACATATTAATTCATCTGTGGTTCTCCATCAGCCGTGTCCTGAGGTGTTTTCTATTTAGCAAAGGAAACCGCAGAGAGCGACTCGAAAAACGAACTATATCTTTCATTAAATTGATGTTAATGAACCAGAATTCACTATGTGTTATTTAAACTTTGTTATGGGATGTGTATTGTCCTCTAGGGCATAATTTCTTTTAGAAAAAAAAAACCCCAAACAACACTAATGAACACATTTAGAAAGTGTTACAAGCTATTCCATTTGAAACTGCATTCATCACTTGTAATACTACAGTATATATTTTATTAACTGAATGTTAAAGAATTATATATATTATAGATAAGTATTGGCGAAGCAGTGGTGCAGTAGGTAGTGCTGTCGCCTCACAGCAAGAAGGTCGCTGGGTCGAACCTCAACTCAGTTGGCGTTTCTGTGTGGAGTTTGCATGTTCTCCCTGCGTTCGCGTGGGTTTCCTCTGTTCCGGTTTCCCCCACAGTCCAAAGACATGCGGTACAGGTGAATTGGATAGGCTAAATTGTCCGTAGTTTGTGTGTGTGTGTGTGTGTGTGTATATATGTTTCCCAGAGATGGGTTGCGGCTGCAAGGGCATCCGCTGCATAAAAACGTGCTGGATAAGTTGGCGGTTTATTCCGCTGTGGCGACCCCAGATTAATAAAAGGACTAAGCCGACAAGAAAAACAATGAATGAATAGATAAGTATTAAACAAAATGCAACTAGGGCCTGATGTTTGTGATGGCCCAGATTGCAAAACAGAAGCATAGAGTTAAAAAAAATGTGAGGAAATAGATGCAGCAGACATACCTGTACAGAAACAAATGACATTGCTAAAATAATATATGAACGCATTGTAACAATGATACAACAATTGCCCTCTGCATTAATAAAAAAATAACAATAGTTTAGTGTTTTCTGCTAGTTAGCATCTAAACTGCTACATATCAAACTTGAAACTTCAATAAAAGCATATTAAATAACCACTAAAAATGCCAAAAAAAAAAAAAAATGAACATTTAAAAGAGATTACGAGGTATTGGTTACTTCCTGAAACCCCTACAATCCAAGAGTGGTTGGAAATTTTTATGTGACATTTATATTATGGAAAAAAATTACATTTTCCCTTCGCCTCCTAATAAATGTATTCAGAAATATCTTTTCTTTTTTTCTTCTTTTTTTTTAAATGGACTGAATATGAAAGGTAGGCATGGGACAAAAACCGGTTTTGAAAAGTGAAGGTTTTAAGGCTGTTATATTTTCGTTTTGTACTTTTTTACGACTTTGTTTATGACTATTTAAATGATTTTTATTTTTTTTTATGGCAACAGCATCTTCTGCAGAAAATGACCCTCCAAATCAAAAGCTATGATTTAGGAAACATCTGAAAAACAAATCATCTATTTACCAACATCCAGCATGAAGAACTGAAGAACGCAGTGACTTACTTTATATTCAAAGAAAATAAAGATATCCAAGATGCCTTTTTAAGTTGTAAAGAAATCAGTGTTTTTGAAACTAACGAAGACAACAGAAGTAAATGACTTATTTGAATTATTTAGCCTGACATGTTTACCATTTAAAAATAGTAATTGCAGTAATCACAATATGATGAAACCGTGATATTTTTATCTAAGGTTATCATACCGTGATAATCTTTTACCGGCCCATGTCTAATGTAAGGTCACTTTGTTCAGATTTTGTAGAAGCATAAAACAATTGCTGTTTGGCTTTAATCTGTAATGTATGCATTTTCTAATTTAATAGTCTCCTTTTTAGACCAAGACCAATGATATAATCTACTATAATAAATATTACCTAAAAAAGTTACATGTAACTTTTAAAGTGGTTGTAGTAAAAGTTAAAGTGAAAAATATACCCCTTTTAAGCTGAAATATTGTTTTGTTATGCTGCTATACTAAATAAAAACGTTAAAAATATACAGTTTTTAAGATTAAATAACTGTTTTTTTTCCTCTATATAGTGTTGATATAATAACTTGTAAATACTGTATGTTTTGTTAGCATATCTGGAAATGTTTAAACCATGTGTGTCACCACTATGCCCGCATTACATTACGTCTAGGCATGGACCGGTATAAGATTCTGACGGTATGAAAACCTTGGATAAAAAATAAATAAATAAATAAATAAAATCACGGTTTCACAGTATGATGGTATTGTGATTACCGCTCTAAAATATGTTTTTTTAAACGCCTGGGTAAAAAAAAAACTATTTATTTACCCCAATTGAACACAATATTTTATTTGACTTCTGCTGTCTTAATTAGTTTCAAAAACTGAGATTTCCTTACAACTAGAAAAGGCACCATTGGATATCTTTCTCTTTTTGGCATATAAAGAAAGCCACTATACCGCAGGACTATAGTATGCTTGGATGTTGGTGTATAGGCAGTTTGTTTTTCAGATGTTTCCTGAATCATGGGCTTACCCGTATATTTTAATTAGGAGAAAATTAAATAAAATAGCAGAACAATTCTGAGGTATTAAAAACGCAGTCAACCTTGAAACTGGTTATCATCTCATGCCTAATTGTGTCACGCTCAGTATTTTCAAAAAACATACAATATTTGAATGCAATAAAATGATTGTCAGATATTTCATTAAAGCAACGAAAATAATAAATCAGTCTATCTCTTCCTTAAAGAGATGGTGGCCAGATTCCTGGTACTTCAGCGTATGCTAAACCCAGAGGGTGGTTGGACGTGGCGCTGTCAGCACTGTGATGAATCTGCTGTAAGTGTAGTAATTAAGGAGGATTTGAGTCATTCCTGATGAGACCAGACAGAGAAATGTTCAGAAATAAGACAGAGGGATTAAAAACTCTCCATCATAAACCATATTAGACCCCCCACATAGAGTGAGATTCTCACATGGAGAGAGAGAGAAAGAGAGGTGAATTAAGTGGGATGTGTATATATAGAGTTTAGGGCTGTCACTATTAATTATATAGAGACTGCTGGATCATTTGATGATTATTCTGATCAAAGACAACAGCTGAAAATGGATTAACAGGATTAACAATTAACAATTAAACTAAACTATTCCTTTTTATTTCTGTCCAGTATATATGACTTAAAAACAATTACTTTCAAATATATTTTGATAATGTCATTGAAAAAGAAAACTAACAAGCACTAACTAACTTACATTGGTGTATAAGTCACCTTCTAAAATATCATTCAGAAATATATGATAAATAATTTAAAGTGAGAAAAGTGTGACTGGAAAATACCCCATACAAACAAGCACGTTTTTTTATTTGCCAAACATACAAAATCCTAGGTTTGTTTTACTATATTACATAAGCTGCTATGGAACAAAAGTCGTAGTATGTTTAAAGGCTTATAAATGTGGCTTATAACAGTAGTGTGCTGAGTAAAGAGCTGCAACTAAAATGACAACGGTAGGAGATATACATATCAAGTCGCCCTTTTACATCTAATAAACTGTGCATACTCTTTTAGAAGAGTGCTAATATGCCTGCAATCTTAAAGTGAACTTTCTATATGGCAGATGAAGTATTACGTTAAAGGAATTGTATTTAGGAATTAGTTCTGGTTTGTACTGAACTAGTTGTGTATAAAACCATGAAGTTTGAATTAAAACCCATAAAGAAGTGGCTTTAGGTGATCTTGACATTTTGTTGGATGTAGCTGTGAATCAACAGTCAACTTTCTCGATAACACAACTATTTTTTTTTCCATTAAATGTAAGAATTTATTTCTTGCTTTATTTCTATGTTTTTATATTCTGTCTTTTTAATTTTTCTATCTTGTCTTATGCACAGCACTTTGGTAAGTCTTGTGACTGCTTTTAAATGTGCTTTATAAATAAATGAACTTGAATTAGCTGATAGAAAAAAATTGATTTCAGATTGGAGTTTAAGATGCATTTGCTTGAT